CCTTTTTTTTTTTTTCTTGCAACCCTTTTTTAAAAATTTCTCTAACCGCTTGTTTTGCGCTATTAAAAAAAATAAAAAGAAAACAGATAGTTTGGAAAAAAAAATTTTTTTTTTTTTTCTTGCAACCCTTTTTTAAAAATTTCTCTAACCGCTTGTTTTGCGCTATTAAAAAAAATAAAAAGAAAACAGATAGTTTGGAAAAAAAAATAAAAGAAAGGTCGCAGTTTATGTGTGTGTGTGTGAATGTGATTATGTGTGTGTGTATTTGTTTGTGTAAATGGGTGGCGCAGTTTGGGGGGTTGTACGTGTTGGCGAAAAAAAATGTGCCTGTGTGTGTGCGACGGTGTAAATTTGTGTGTGCATGTGCTTGTGTGTATATGAGTGTGTGTGTGTAAATGGGTGGCGTGGTTTGAGGGGTTGTCATTGTGGCAGAAAAAAAAAAAAAAACGTCTCCGGGGGGGAGGGGAGGTGGCGGTAGTGGGTGGCCCTCCGTTGGGTGGGGGTGGGGGAGTCGGGCCTTAGCAGGTGGCAGTTTCGGGGATGGGGACCGCGGGGCAAGGGGGCGGGGGTATCGGTTGGTCCCAGGTGGCGGTTTTCGCACTTTGGGGGTTTTTCGAACTCGGACCACCACCCCGTAGCCCCAGTCGCGAGCGCACGCCCCGCGGGACTTCGTTCAATTTTTTCACGCGCGCGCGCAGGTAGCGCGTTTAAACGTGATTGAATGCGGGGCTGGGGGGTTTGAACGCGCGATTTTGAACGTGAACGCGCGTTCACGGCGTTCAACCGGTTACACAGGGTGTGAAGGTGTTTGGCTATCGTGTGTGGGTTATACGGATGCGGAGGTGGCAAAAGGTGTGACATAGTCTCGCTAGGGTGGATGGGCGAAGAAGGTGAAGGTGGAAAGAAGTGTGAAGGTGCTTGGCTGTGGTGGACGGGTGGAGGTGGAGGTGGAAGAAGTTGTAGAGGTGTTTGGCTATGGGGGATGGGTGAAGGAGGTGGAGGTGGAAGGTGTGAAGTTGTTTGGCTATCGTGAATGGGTAAAGGAGGTCGAAGAGGAAGAAGGTGTGAAGGTGCCTGGCTAGGGTGAATGGGTGAAGGAGGTGGATGTGGAAGAAGGGATGAAGGTGTTTTACTAACAAGGTGGAGGTGCAAAAAGGTGTAAAGGTGCTTGGCTATGCTGGATGGGTGAAGGAGGTGGAGGTGGAAGAAGGTGTGAAGGTGTTTGGGTATGGTGGATGGGTGAAGGAGGTAGAGGAGGAAGAAGGTGTGTAGGTGTCTGGGTAGGGGGAATGGGTGAAGGAGGTGGAGGTGGAAGAAGGTGTGAAGGTGCTTGGCTATCGAGGATGGATGAAGGTGGTGCACGTGGAAGAAGGTATGACGGTGATTGTCTATGGCTGATCGATAAAGGAGGTGGAGGTGGAAGAAGGTGTGAAGATGCTTGGCTATGGTGTGTGGGTTATAAGGGTATGGAGATGGAAAAAATGTGTGAAAGAGTCTGGCTAGGGTGGATGGGTGAAGTAGGTGAACGTGGAAAGAGGTGTGAAGGTGCTTGGCAGTGGTGGACGGGTGGAGGTGCAGGTAGAAGAAGGTGTGGGATTATAGGCTATGCGGAATGTGTGAAGGAGGTAGAGGTGGAAGAAGGTGTGAAGATGTTTGGCTATTGTGGATGGGTGAAGGAGGTGGACGAGGAAGAAGGTCTGATGGTGCCTGGCTAGGGTGAGTGGGTGACGGAGGTGGAGATGGAAGAAGGGGTGAAGGTGTTTGGCTAACGAGGTGGAGGTGGAAGAAGGTGTAAAGGTGTTTGGCTATGTTGGATGGGTCAAGGAGGTGGAGGTGGAAGAAGGTGTGAAGGTGTTTGGCTATGTTGGATGGGTGAAGGAGGTAGAGGAGGCAGAAGGTGTGAAGGTGTCTGGGTAGGGTGAATGGGTGGAGGAGGTGGAGGTGGAAGAAGGTGTGAAGGTGTTTGGTTATAGAGGATGGGTGAAGAGATGCACGTGGAAGAAGGTATGAAGGTGCTTTTCTATGGCTAATGGGTGAAGGAGGTGGAGGTGGAAGAAGGTGTGAAGATGCTTGGCTATTGTGTGTGGGTTATAAGGGGGTGGAGATGGAAGAAATGTGTGAAAGAGTCTGGCTAGGGTGGATGGGTGAAGAAGGTGAACGTGGAAAGTGGTGTGAAGGTGCTTGGAAGTGGTGGACGGGTGGAGGTGTAAGTAGAAGAAGGTGTGGAGGTACTTGGCCATGGGGGATGGGTGGAGGAGGTGGAGGTGGAATAAGGTATGAATGTGTTTCACTATGGTGGATGGCTGAAGGAGGTGGACGAGGGAGAAGGTCTGACGGTGCCTGGCTAGGGTGAGTGGGTGAAGTAGGTGGAGGTGGAAGAATGGGTGAAGGTGTTTGGCTAATGCGGTGGAGGTGGAAGAAGGTGTGAAGGTGCTTGGCTATGCAGGATGGATGAAGGAGGTGGAGGTGGAAGAACGTGTGAATGTGCTTGGCTATGGCGGATGGATGAGGGAGGTGGAGGTGGAAAAAGGTGTGAAGATGCTTGATTGTGGTGGATAGGTGAACAAGGTGGAGGTGGAAGAAGTTGTGAAGGGCCCTGGCTAGGGTGGATGGGTGAAGGAGGTAGACGTGGAAGAAGGTGCGACGGTGATTTGCTATGATGGACGGGTGAAGAGGTGGAGGTGGAACAAGGTATGGAGGTACTTGGCTATGGGGGATGGGTGAAGGAGGTCGAGGTGAAAGAAGGTGTGAAGGTGGTTGGATATGGTGGATAGGTGAACAATGTGGATGTGGATGAAGGTGTAAAGGTTCTTGGCTATGGTGGGTAGGTGAAGGAGGTAGAGGAGGAAAAAGGCGTGAAGGTGTTTGGCTAGGGTGAATGGGTGAAAGAGGTGGAGGTGGAAGAAGGTATGATGGTGCTTGACTATGGTGAATGGGTGAAGGAGGTGAAGGTGGAAGAAGGTGTGAAGGTGCCTGGCTATGGCGGATGGGTGAAGGAGGTAGAGGTGGAAGAAGGTGTGGAGGTACCTGGCTATGCGGGATTGGTGAACGAGGTGGAGGTGGATGAAGGTGTGAAGGTGCTTGGCTATGGTGGATGGGTGAAGGAGGTCGAGGAGGAAGAAGGTGTGAAGGTGCTTGGCTGTGGCGAAAGGGTGAAGAAGGTAAAGGAGGAAGAAGGTGTGAAGGTGCCTGACTATGGTGAATGGGTAAAGGAGGTGGAGGTGGAAGAAGGTGTGAAGGTGCTTGGCTTAGGTGGATGGTTTATAAGGATCAGGAGGAGGAAAAAGGTGTGAAAGAGCCTGGCTAGGGTGGATGGGTGAAGCAGATGGAGGTGGAAGTAGGTGTGAAGGTGCTTGGCTGTGGTGGAAGGGTGCAGGTGGAGGTGGAAGAAGGTGTGGAGGTACTTGGCTATGGGGTATGGGCGAAGGAGGTGGAGGTCGAAGAAGGTGTGAAGGTGCCTGGCTATGGTGGATGGGTGAAGGAGGTTAAGAAAGAAGAAGTTGTGACGGTCCCTGGCTAGGCTGGATAGGGCAAGGAGGTGAAGGTGGAAGAAGGGCTGAATGTGTTTGGCTATGGCAGATGGGTGAAGGAGGTGGAGGAGGAAGAAGGTGTGAAGGTGCTTGACTATGCTGGACGGGTGAAGGAGGTGGACATAGAAGAAGGTGTGAACGGGCTTGGCTATGGCGGAAGGATGAAGGAGGTGGAGGTTAAAGAAGGTGTGAAGGTGTTTGTCTATGGTGGATGGGTGAAGGAGGTGAATGTGGAAGGTGTAAAGGGGCCTGGCCAAGGTGGATGGGTGAAGGAGGTAGCTGGAAGGTGTGAAGGTGTTTGGCTATGGTGGACGTGTGAAGGACGTGGAGGTGGAAGAAGGTATGGAAGTACTTGACTTTGGGGGATGGGTGAAGGAGGTGGTGGTGGAAGAAGGTATAAAGGTACTTCGCTATCGTGGATGGGTGAAGAATGTGGAGGTGGAAGAAGTTGTAAAGGTCTTTGGCTACGGTGGATACGTGAAGGAGGTAGAGGAGGAAGAAGGTGTGACGGTGCCTGGCTAGGGTGAATGGGTGAAGGAGTTTGAGATGGAAGAAGTTGTGAAGGTGTTTGGCTATGGTGGATGGGTAAAAGAGGTGTTGGTGGAAGACGGTGTGAAGGTGCTTGGCTATGGTGGATGGGTGAAGGATATAGACGTGAAAGAAGGCGTGAAGGTGCTTGGCTATTTGGGATAGGTGAACGAGTTGGAGGTAGAAGAAGGTGTGAAGGTGCTTGGCTATTGTGAATGGGTGAAGGAGGTCGAGGTGCAAGAAGGTAGAAAGGCGTTGCTTGCCTATGGTCGGTGGGTGAAGGAGGTAGAGGAGGAAGACGGTGTGAAGGTGTCTGACTAGGGTGAATGGGTGAACGATGTGGAGGTGGAAGGTGTGAAGGTGCTTGGCTATGGAGGATGCGTAAAGGAGGTGGAGCTGGAAGAAGGTCTGAAGGTGCTTCTAAATGGCGGGTGAAGGAGGTGGAGGTGGATGAAGGTTTGAAGTTGCTTGGCTATGGCGAATGAGTTATAAGGATATGGAGATGGAAAAAGGTGTGAAGGAGTCCGGCTAGGGTGGATGGGTGAAGGACGTGGAGGTGGAAGAAGGTGTGAAGGTGCTTGGCTGTAGCGGAGGGGTGGAGGTGGAGGTGGAAGAAGGTGTGGAGGTACTTGGCTATGGGGGATGGGTGAAGGAGGTGGAGGTGGAGGTGGAAGAAGGTGTTAAGGTGTTTGGCTATGGTGGATGGGTGAAGGAGGTGTTGTTGGAAGAAGGTGTGAAGGTGCTTGGCTATGGTGGATGGGTGAAGGAGGTACAGGTGGAAGAAGGTGTGAAGGTGATTGGTTATTGGGGATGGGTGAACAAGGTGGAGGTGGAAGAAGGTTTGAAGGTGATTGGTTATGGTGGATGGGTGAAGGAGGTCAAGGTGGAAGAAGGTGCGAAGGTGCTTGACTATGGTAGATGGGTGAAGGAGGTAGAGGAGAAAGATGTGAGGGTGTCTGGCTAGGGTGAATGAGTGAAGGAGGTAGAGTTGGAAGAAGGTGTGAAGGTGTTTGGGTATGTAGGATGGGTGAAGGAGGTGTAGGTGGAAGAAGGTGTGAAGGTGCTTGGCTATGGTGGATGGGTGAAGGAGGTGGCGGTGGAAGAAGGTGTCAAGGTGTTTGGCTATGTTGGATGGGTCATAAGGATGTGGAGGTGGAGAAAGGTGTGAAAGAGTCTGGCTAGGATGGATAGGTGAAGGAGGTGGAGGTGGAAAGAGGTGTGAAGGTGCTTGGCTGTGGTGAACGAGTGGAGGTGGAGGTGTAAGAAGGTGTGGAGGTACTTCGTTATGGGAGATGGGTGAAGGATGTGGAGGTGGAAAAAGACGTGAAGGCGCTTGGCTATGGTGGATTGGTGAAGGAGGTGGAGGAGGAAGAAGGTGTGAAGTTGTCTGGCTAGGGTGAATGTGTGAAGGAGGTGGAGGTGGAAGACGGGGTGAAGGTGTTCGGCNTGAAGGAGGTGGAGGAGGAAGAAGGTGTGAAGTTGTCTGGCTAGGGTGAATGTGTGAAGGAGGTGGAGGTGGAAGACGGGGTGAAGGTGTTCGGCTGTGGCGGATGGATGAAGGAGGTGGAGGTGGAAGAAGGTGTGAAGGTGCTTGGCTATGGTTGATGGGTGAAGGAGGTGGAGTTGGAAGAAGGTGTGAAGGGGCCTGGGTAGGGTGGATGGGTGAAGGAGGTAGAGGTGGAAGAAGGTTTGGAGGTACTTTGCTATGGGGTATGGGTGAAGGAGGTGGAGTTGGAAGAAGGTCTGAAGGTGTTTGGATGTGCTGGATGGGTGAAGAATGTGGAGGTGAAAGAAGGTGTAAAGGTGTTTGGCTATGGTGGATAGGTGAAGGATGTAGAGGAAGAAGAAGGTGTGAAGGTGCCTGGCTAGGGTGAATGGGTGAAGGAGGTAGAGGTGGAAGAAGGTGTGAAGGTGTTTGGCTATGGTGGATGGGTGCAGGAGGTGTTGGTGGAAGAAGGTGTGAAGGTGTTTGGCTATGGTGGATGGGTGAAGGAGGTGGAGGTGGAAGAAGGTGTGAAGGGGCCATGCTAGTGTGGACCGGTGAAGGAGGTGGAGGTGGAAGAAGGTGTGAAGGTGTTTGGTTGTGGTGGACGGGTGAAGGAGGTGGAGGTGAAAGATGGTGTGTCGATACTTGGCTATGGGGGATGGGTGAAGGAGGTGGAGGTGGAAGAAGGTGTAAAGGTGCTTGGGTATGGTGGATGGGTGGAAGGAGGTCGAGGTGGAAGAAGGTGTGAAGGTGCTTGGCTATGGTAGATGGGGAAAAAAGGTGGAGGTGAAAAAAGTTGTGAAGGTGCTTAACTATGGTGGCTGGATGAAGGAGGTGGAGGGCGAAGAAGGTTCGGAGGTACTTGGCTATCGGGATAGGTAAAGGAGGTGGAGGTGGAAGGTGTGACGATGCTTGGCTATGGTGGACGCCAAGCTTCCGGTTCATACCTACTTACATGGTCTCACTGTCTGAAGCAACAGAAAACTCATACTTGCGAAATTCATATTTGCGCAGACACTTAGACTTGCAAGGAAAATTCAAACTGCGAAAAACTCAGATTTGCGGTATTGAAATTTGGCCTATTTTGCAAGGGAAGAGGGAGCCAAAAAACACCAATGTGCGTTTGGCGACCCAAACGACGTTTGATATCCATGTTACTTCACAGGTTCTCTGTTTATACCCTACTAAAGATTGACCGGATTCCGTCGTCGTTTCCCCTAACTTGCCTGCTTCGCGCACCACTCGGGGCTCTAAGTGAACAATTCGAGAAAGTCCATTTACCGTTTTCACAGGAAAACGGACTCCGGTTTTGGAGGCCATCTATATATGCCTAGGATACGGGGCCTATTCAATCCAAGCCCCTATATCCCTTTTTTGGCGGAGTTAGTTTTTGGCATCCCCTTTCTGCACCGGCCCGTTTGGCCGCGTTGGCCACTCCGGACCGGCCTCCGCCTGGGGCGGGACAACGATTTTCTCAGTACCAGCAGCACGGCTTTGGTCAGGCATCAGTGGCAACAGCTGTAGACTTGAATCAGTAGCAGCAGCGACAACACCAACAACCACAATCCCCTACCTACTCCTCTTTGTTAGCTTGTTCAAATAGAGCACAGCGAGTGAATCGGTGTCAAAACAAAGCATGGGAGGAGATTAGTGTGTTAGTCCAGTAGAGCACATGGAGAGGTGAGTTGTCACAGATACACAGTGTCTACTTAGTTCAACAAAATGGATACAGATTGAGGTTGCACTTTACATCGAAGTGAAAATTTGACAGCGTTCTTCACTCACTCCTTAGCAAACACAAACATCGAAGTGGCGAGATACTTAGCAGCGGGAAAATGGACAAAGCAGGGTCATATGATGATATCAACACTCAAGAAGAACAAGAAAAAAACAGGCGGATTACTCTTAAGTGCAGTCTTGAGAGAGGGATGAAGGGAGAGTGAGTGAAACTCACCCGCAAGCTTAGGGGACACAAAAAACAAACTGTCGGATCACCATGGAAGCGAAAATGGACAATGCATGAGTAGATGAGGAATACAACAGCAAAACAAGCAAAAACAAAAGTGACGATTCACTCCCAGGTGCAAATTTCAACAAAAGATGAAGGGAGAGTGAAGCTAGGAAACTCAAAACACAAACTGTCTAATTAGAATGGAGAGTGAAAATGAACAATGCACGAGTAAATGATGACTACAACATCAAATCAAGCAAGGACAAAAGTGACTATTCACTCCCAAGTGAAGATTATAGCAAAAGATGAAGGTGGTTCAAGCTAGGAAACTCAAAACACAAAGTGTCGGATAACAATGGACAGTGAAAATGAACAATGTAAGTGTAGATTATGACTACAACAGTAAAATAAGCAAGGTCAAAAGTAACGATTCCCTTTCAAGTGAAGATTAGAGCAAAAAATGAAGGGAAAGTAAGTGAAACTCACTCTAATGCCAGGAAACACAAAGTACCGGATTACAATGGAGAGTGAAAATTGACAATGCAAGTATAGATGATGACCACAATACCAAAACAGGCAAGGATAAAAGTGACGATTCACTCTCAAGTGAAAATTAGAGCAAACGATGGAGGGAGAGTGAGTTAAGAAACTCAAAACACAAAGTATC